TATTCAAAATGTGTATATGTATGGCCGCAAAATATTTCACATTTTTCTGAAACTTCAACAACACAAATTTCAAAATGTTTATATACAGAGAGCACTGGAGCTCGGGTGCTGCAAATCCGCATTCATACAAAGCCTTCTTTTTACATTGAACATCGTAGTACTTCACAGAAAAAGTGGATGCATATTGTAGTAAATAACATGATTTCTTCTTTTACATAAGGCAGGAAAAACAGCAAGTACAATAGTAACAAAATAGTATGGCTTTACTAAAGTAGAGTGTACGTATAGTACTAGAACATCAGCACACAATAGCAAACTCAATTGATCACATATGTTTCTGGACAAATCAGATGAAGGGAAAAGATAATTATCGAGACATTGAAAATTCATAAATAGGGTCCATGGAGTATCTCAATCTGGCAGTTTCAAGGTGGTGGTCACTGACGTAGGACGTAAAGGGTGCCAAATGATAGCATTTTCATGATGACAAACAATAATTTGGAGAATTATACCACATCAACAAAAATTGTCGTCAGTGATGTGGACTATATATGGTACTGATACACATATATTCATCATTCAAATTCTGCAGCTTTCAGGTATTATGTATCCATGGTGAGAGGTTTTATCTCTTCTGAATGTAAATGGGTTCACCATGTATGTGTTGACGTTGAATAGACCTCTGAATTTCTCTCAGGAAGTACACTCCAGTATAAAACAAAATATATCCATGTATCTAAGAATAATATATAGATAGATTATCAAACAAAGGCTATTGCGCTGTGTAAAATATATACCATTCTGAGATTTGAGACCAACCGATCGCGCATAAAGCTTCATCAGTTATACTTGTCATTCGTCTAGCAAACCTGCCCGTTCAGCAAGTATGTTCCAAAGGCAAAGGCTACTCTCCTAGATCACTTGCATGAAACGCATGTTCCTTAACAGATAATACCTTAAATTCAGATTTCCAGCTCTATATTGTATCTTCCAAAGAGATTTTCAGCGTCCACGTCCAGGGACATGTTCTAGCAGTGTTTGGTGACACTCCGGGATAGGTCCCTGGAATAAGTTCGGTTAGCGTGATGCTCATCTCTAAGGTAGTCTTTCATGAGTTCTTATGTGCTTATTATGTCTAGAAACCAAAAATGTATGTTAGTGTTTGAATCCAGGCTAAAAAAAGGGTCTAAATGAAATTACTGCATCAACTGAATGGAAAATGATTGCTTACTTGTCAAGATTAGTTGGGTGTCCACATAAGTGCACCATGCCTGGACCATGCATATTGCTGTGGCTCTTCTCCTTGGCTGCGGAGTTCGATTCAGCTGGGGCCTTTGGATGGAGCTTTCGGAACAAGTGATGTTCACCTGAAAGAAACCATCAGTGCGCAGCGCACGAGCAACACGCGTGCGGACTCGTGGGATCGAACTCGCAGCAGCTTAGGTTATTATGATCAAAATGGTTAATATAATTGGCTTTCATTATCTATGGCAAGTGGTTAACAAATCTTCACTTGCATGCAGCACATGCCAACATCTGTCTTAAGTTAATGCATAGTAGACAGTAACATAGTTGGGAAGAACAGTCTTAACCGTGCACTGATTTGTAACTGTTCAAAAGTAACAACTCAAGGTGAATATGTAACGTATGTCAGAGAAAACATAGTATGGCAGAAAATATATGCAGGCTTCTTCTTCACCCGGTACTGTTCAACTAGAAGAAAAAGAACTATGATTTTAGGAACTAAAAACAACATAAGTACATAACCCATTCTTTTCAACAAAATAAGGTACATAAGCCACAGCTTTTGCACTGGACGGCCTTTCCAAAAACAATAATATGGGGAAACATTCTGCACTTCAATTTTCATAAACTTTTCATAGTTGCAGACTGGGGCTGGAAATTTCCAGTCTATGTGTTAGAGTACGTAATGGGTCTGGGCTGGCGGCATAGCCCGTTAGTCTTAGGGTTAATTAGAGATAAGGGTCGCTTGCTTAGGGGTCAAGTAAGCCTTGCTTGGGAGTCAAGTAAACCTCTCTATATAAAGAGAGGAGATGTATCAATCTAATCAAGCAAGAATTAAGAAGGAAATCCCTTCCCTCTTGCCTGGCCGTGGGCAAAAGGCCTCCGGCTGGCCCTCTCGTGCCCTCCTTCTAGCAGCACCATAACAATTTGGTATCAGCTAGCTTCGGTTCGATCATGTCTTCACCGCTGTCAAGCCCCGTCTCTTCCGCTGCCGGTCACCTCGTCGCCTCCGGCGACCACCACGACCGTTGCCTCGCTCCTGCCCGCGCCGGGATCCTCTGTCGCGCCCGCCCCCGCCGTCTTCACCCCGGAGGAGGTGTTCGGGGTGCTATGGGACCTAACCCAGGCGGTCCAGGAGATCCACATGTTCTTGGTCGGGTCCTACGGGCCTCCCCCAGCTGCGCCGCCCATCGCCGCCCCCGCGCCGCCGTGGCTGCCGTGGCAGCCGCCGCACCAGGCGGCCTTCGCCGGGCCGCTGCATCTGCTATCCATCGCCACCACCGCCCAGCCCTGGCTGCAGTGGCAGCCGCCGCTCCTAGCGGCCTCCGCCGCGCCTGGCGCTTTGCCGCAGCAGCCGCTGCCGCTGCCCGGTGCGACACCGCAGCAGCCACCGCCGGTCAGCTCCGCCGCCCAGTATGGGTTGCCCTACGACGGGACTGCGACGACCTTGTTCCCATCAGCGTCGCCGCCATCCCAGGGCGTCCACATCCAGCAGATCAAGTCCCCGCCGGCGCAGTCACCGCTTCCATCTTGGATCGCTACCCGCCACGTGTCGGCGGCGGTGAGGCTGCAGGCTGCTGCGCGCGGCCTCCTAGCGCGTCGGCGTGTGCGGGAGGTGCGTGGTTTGCAGCTGCCGCTCCTCCAAGTTGCCCTTCACTGCGCAAAGGACCACGATTTCGTCCGCTGCGTCGGGGTTCTCGGGCATGCTGTTTTCCCCATGGGCAGCGGCCTCAAAGTCTGCGACATCGGCGGTTGGGGGGGCGCACCCCTCCTCGACATTCTCCATCGCAAGCCCTCCACTCTTTCCTGTGCAGTGCAGACCAACAGTCATACACATGCACTCCTTTTGTCCACGTGGTGTCCATGGGATTCAGGTGGCTGTACAAGTGCACGTCCAAAATAAAGCGTCACAGTCTATTTCAGTTTGAGAGTAATAACACAAGCCGAGATGTAAAAGGCTTGTTTTTAGGTGTTAGGTTTGTGTTGCGTCGAGTCATGGTTATAAGTTGGTTAGACTGCAGCTCGAGGACAAGCTGCATGTCCAGGTGGGGTGTAGTGTTAGAGTACGTAATGGGCCTGGGCTGGCGGTATAGCCCGTTAGTCTTAGGGTTAATTAGAGATAAGGGTCGCTTGCTTAGGGGTTAAGTAAGCCTTGCTTGGGAGTCAAGCAAACCTCTCTATATAAAGAGAGGAGATGTATCAATCTAATCAAGCAAGAATTAAGAAGGAAATCCCTTCCCTCTTGCCTGACCGTGGGCAAAAGGCCCCCGGCTGGCCCTCTCGTGCCCTCCTTCTAGCAGCACCATAACACTATGTATCTCAAATCCTTCAACAAAAAGAAAACAGAAGGAGCTAATAAATGGACTGACTGGGGCTGCACTTCAATAATATCACTATGCTACTCATGGTTTACATGATTACACATGGACAAAACATCCTAATATTCTTTACACTGAACATGTATTGTATTACTTCAAAGAAAAAGTCGATCAAACTGAAAGTAACGTGTATGCATAGTATTAAATATATCAGCACACAATACCAAACTGAACTGATCACAGGTGTTGCTGGACAAATTAGACGAGAGCAAAGTTATGAAGTTTGGTTGGACAAATCTTTGTCCCTGAACTGTGCATTCCATATTTATTCTCTTAGGTTATCAGGCGGCATCTGATATCATTGCTAGAATGCGAGACATACGAAAAAATTCATAAGCTCCAAGGAGTATCTCAATCTGGCAGTTTCAAGATGGTGGTCACTGACAATGGACGTAAAGGGTGCCAAATGATGGCATTTTCTTGATGACAAACAATAATTTGGACAATTATACCACATCAACAGAATTTTGTCCTCAGTGATGTGGACTACATATGGCACTGATAAATATATATATTCATCATTCAAATTCTGCAGCTTTCAGGTATTAGGTGTCTATAGTGAATCAAACAAATTCTGAAGCTTATCTCTTCTGAATGTAAATGAGTTCACCTTGCCTTTACTTTAACTAGCCCTGTGAATCTCTCATGAAGTACACTCCAATATAAAAGAAAAGGGTTTAAAAACATTTCCATGTACTTAAGAATAAAATATGGATGTATTATCAGACAAAGGCTATTGTGATGTATAAAATATATGCCGGTCTGAGATTTGAGACCAACAGACCTCATAAAGCCATCAGTTATACTTGTCCATCATCTGGCAAACTTGCAGGTTCAGCAAGCATGTACCAAAAGGCTATTCTCCTAGATCACTTGCATCACACGCATGTTCTATAACACCCTAAATTCCAGATTTCCGGCTCTATATTCCAAAGAGATTTTCAGCATCCACATCCAGGAACATTGTTCTAAAAATGGTTTGGTGACACTCCAGGATAGGTCACTGGAGAATTAGTCCGGTCAGTGCTCTGCCTATCTCTAGATCGCCTTTCATGAGTTCATATGTGCTCACTATTTCTGGAAACCAAAACTGCATGTTAGTGTCAGAGCAACGGAGGCTTGTAGGACCAGCTGTGAAGCAGCAGATAAAAAATGCAAAACAATAGAAACATCTTCAAATGATACACCTGGAATTCTTGCCACCAAATCAGCACTTATTTCTTATTTAACGTAATATTCAACAAACAATATCCTCCCTATAGGACCATGCCAATTATTTCTGTACAAAAAAAGTGCATCTCTTTAAACGACAAATGCACACATAGATACAAACCAGAGAGGAATCAAGAAGAATTGATGTCAGTCAAAACTCACAAGTCACAACCCTGATGGTAAGTTTAAACATCCAAGGATTTTGGAAGCTCCTCTCATGCCACTAAGGACAGCCCCTTCGACACTTGGACTAGCGCAGAAATCTCCACAGATAGCCAATTTCATGTTCTTCTCCCAGACACACTTATCATCACCGCCAATAGAAATTGCTGGGAAAGCACCACCCCTGCAAATTTGTTTATAGACAGATACCAATAAGAAATAAGTACGTTAAAAATAAAATATGATTCAATTAGAGGAGCTGAAGAATTCATGTAGAATACTAACCATCTATGAGCTTTCATAAAGATTGGCTGTGGAATGTTCAGTCCTGTAGCCTGAAATTCTCTGAACAGTTCCTCTGCAACCTTAGCAAGGGCATCTGCTGAAGGTTTCCGGGGACCCATACTTTCTATTACCTTAGAAGCATACTCGGTGGTTGAACGCAACACCCACGATTGGCTGAATACAAAGAATTGCATTTAACGAATTTGAACTATCAATCCATCAAATGCCAAGTGCATATAAAAAAAGGTGTATACCTATTAGGAGGTACATGACGTCCTGGCTTACTACTATCACAAAAGGCCCAGCTTAGAGAATCAGAATTGTAGAAAGAGAACCCTTGGACAGGTACCTGATTAAAACACCACGAGGTAGATGAACAACGATGGTTTATAGATGTATAAATCAACAAACTGGAGACTGATTATACCATCGCAAGAGGCTCTGAGAACGCTAACATCAGAGCAAAACAGGGGCGAACTGGGATATCTTGAATCATTGCTGACAAGTGTGGAAATACTGACAAATCTGACAGAACATGAAAAAGCAAAGGTGATGATCCAATATTACAATTTAGTGAACAAGCTAAACCAAACCATTCATTGAAACACGCAATTTCTTTTGAAGGTAACACGTCACCAATATTGTACCCTTCCGAAACAATTTTTTATCTAAACATGGTAGCAAAGGGGGGAAGGCATAATTGGAACTTCCTGGGGTAGGAAGTTCCTACTAGGAATGGGACATGGCTTTACAGCCCATTTAGCTTATTTAAAACATTTTGACTGTTTAGCATGTGCACAGTAGCACTCCATTACTCCATTGGAAAATAAATGCTAAGCATAAATCAAAGACACAAAAAGCAATTCACTTAGGGTAAAAAAGGATCATTTCTCTAATTAAAAGTAGTGATAACCATCCTGATTTGTAGAACTTGTCAGAATATTAGAAGAATGTTCTTAAAAATGAAAACTAAAAACAGAAATCTTGTCATGTGATAGTAAGTAGAGCATATTATGTACAGAATGGAATCGAACAAACCAAGAGGCGGTGGCTTTCCAGTCAACCCAGAAACTTTTTGTGAGGCTATGTTCTTATCTGTTGCCACAACAAAATCAAAACTGCCAAGATCTTTGCCATCCAAGCTAGCCAAAGACCATGAGCTCCTATCTTGAAGCCAATCCATCTTTCCAATAGTGACACCAAATTTGGTCACCACACCTAGCACAACAGATATCAAGTATGCGCATCAGGAATTCGTGTTTTCTCCCCAGGTGCCAGAGAGTCAAATACTTCGCAGAAAGTCTGACCATCCTCTTGACACAGGGATTTGCATATTGAGTTCATGCCTGGAACTCCAACATACTTCTTCATGGTTCCCTCCTGACAAGGATACATTCCCAGAGAGCAAATGTTAGCAGACAGATCTACCCAATAAGGAGTAGGAAACACTCACAAACAGTTGGGATGAAAATTTATGGGAAAAAGTGGAAGTTTGATTCATTCTAATTAATTTCTAGGTACCCGGCCGGAGTAATAAAATAGCTAGCTGTTGAGTTGAATGAACAAATTCTATTTTCTTTTCCTAGTTTTGATTTCAGAACTGCTTTGTATACGAGCGCTACTTGTGCTATGACGAATTTATATGGATGAATATTTTTCACCTCATGAATATCTGCTTTGTGCTTTCTTGCAGTGTAATTGTTCGAGTGAGTTTTATTGGTCAGTTAATCTGTTTAGCAGCTACGTAGTATTTTAGCTGAAATTTCCAGAGTTTCAGTTTTCTGTAGCTCTGTCCTCCTACAGATTCATGGTCACTGTCCAGAGTCCAGATGCAGGTTTTTTCATGCGTAGCATAGACTCATGAGATGAATCAAAACAAATAACTTCTCATAGAAACCTGCGAACAATCTTGAAAAATAGCACCAAAATGTGTAGTTTTTGTTTTGTCACTTCACATTTTAAATTTTCAGTAGGCGGCTCATGCTTGTATTATCATTTGGTTGACAACAATTTTCCGTGTGAGGTCCAGATTATTTAGTAGAAGTAATTAGTTATATCTTTTTTTGCCTAATTATAATTTTGCTTGAAAGTATGAGATCAGTTATGCAACTGAATTATAGTTCAACAATTTTCTCAGAATTGACGCCTGTGAGGCAGCATGTGTGTCTGTTAGAGGGCTTGTTTTCACCTGCTCATTTTTGTGAAGGTTCAGTCATTGATGTGTAGGGATGTTTTTCTTCTCCCAGGAATGTTTATATGTTTCTTACACTCTAGGCAGTTTCTGTTGTTTTATGTGCAACAATGATCAGAATCGGCAGCCAAAATTTAGTCGAGCATTCTAGGTTCTGACTGCTACATTCCCAATTTCATATGTGCTCGAAACTAACAGGGGTGGGATTTTGAGGCTCAGAACCTTATCGAAGTCTCTGAATTTGCCGGTCTCCCGATCGAAGCAGGCGAACATGGGCTTCCACTCGGCGACGAGCCCCCGCGCCTCCCACCCGCCCACGACCCGGGCGACCTCGTCGTTGCTGACGGTGAAGTAGGGCGCGCCGTGGTCGAACCGCAGCTCCGTGCCGTCGTCCATCACCTCCCTGCACGCACACCACCGTCCCTCCAAAAAGGAGCACCAGTCAGAGCCGAAAAGCGACACCACGGGCCACAGCGCGGCAGTAGATCGGGCGAGCACCTCCGCTGCGCCATGCGGCCGCCGGGGCCGCGGCCGGAGTCGAAGAGCGTCACCGCCACCCCACGCGCGGCTAGGAGCGACGCGCACACGGCGCCCGTCACTGCGATCCGGGAAAAAAGGACAGTGAGTGGGGGACGATCGGATCAGGAATTCAGGAGTATTGCGGGTAGAGTTTTGTGTTGAGGAGTGGCCGATCTGGGTCGCTTACTTCCGGCTCCGATGACGGCGACGTTGGCCGCGGCGGCGCTCATGGTCGGATTCTTCCCGGCGGCGCGTCCTTGTCGATCGGGGTTGGGGAATCGACGGAGTGCGGCGCGGCGGTGGGCGTTTCGCGGTGGAGGAAGGTTAGCCGTTGCATAGTGGACGTGGCGCCTTGCGGACCATTCATATGTCTGGGCTCTTGTGAGGCCGGGCCGAGAGTATGATGGGTTTGGCCCAATATACTTGCTTACTCACTCATACGATTCTGAAAAAAAAAACGTTTCTTATTTCTACCCCTAAAAAAACAATATGTTTCTTATTTCTAGTTTCTCAACAAGAAAAATTCAAAATTATGCATGATGGGTTTGGCCGACAACACTTACTTATCCATGCATTGTGCCACTTGTCATTACTAGCTTACCAAGGGCGCGTTCATGGGGTGCTCGTCCGTCACCATCATGAGTTGCTTCGATCGGGCAATGCTCGAGGCTATGGCGTGGGAAGCACTACCTCTCGCTCTGGATTTGGGTGTCTGGTGTGTGTGTGTGTGTGCATTGCTTAAGATTGCCTTCAGGTGATTCAGAACCTCGCGCAACTGTTCTTGGGCTCATACAAACCATATTATTCGGGAGATCAAGGAGGCCTTGCGACAATTCATGGCGTCATCCTTCCGTCATGAAAATAGAAGCAACAACCGATAAGCTCACAATCTTGCATGATTTTCGATATGCTTCCTGCAAGATGCTGATTTTGTTTTGATCAACCACCATCAGGTTGATGCATTCCTATAAACATTCGTGCAAGTTTGATACAAACAAACTTGCCGCTACTAGAAGGGTTTGGAGGTAAACTTTGCAAAATATACACCTTAATTAATAATTGTCTTATATTTTAATAGTAGTATTTCTATGAAAATCACCATAGGTTTTCACGGTTCAAAATCTCAGCCGCCATAGAGAATATCTAGTGCACATGACTTGATATGCACTCAGTCCAATTGATACAAAGTTTCAAAATAAAATAAACAAAATGGATTATGACACATATAGTACTTGTAATCATGTCATAAATTTTCAAATTAAAATCGATAGCAAAGGTCAAGGAAAAGGGACATATTTGACATTGAACAATACCTAATGTGAGTTGGGCTTTGAATTTAGCCTGTTATCACTATTACTAATAAATTTGTCACTGTTATTGAGTTATTGTATTTCAAATTTGAACTTCAATTGTGATAACGTATATTCAGTTGTGTATATGCCCCAAATTTTTTAGGTTTTTTCGAACTTCAATAGGTATATAAACACGTCTGGTCTACCACAACCCTCATGCACTAGAAAATTCCCCAATCCGCTGAAGGAATAGTTGTTTCCATCATGTTGTGGTTGGTTCTCTCGTCTCCAACTGAGTAATTTGGCACCAGGAGGAAAGAACCCAAAATCTACATCTGTGGTGACGGGAGAAGCCATTTTTTAGCCCTAATTTATGGGGAGGTGCAAGCGATGGAAACAAACAATTACATACATACTTTCTTTAATAGTAGAATTTTTTTTTGTTGGTGACAATGTTTGAACGGCAAAGGCGCTGACGCTCGGAACAAGAGTCATCTCGTTACTTCATCCTTATGATGGTGTGTTCTTCTTAGGCGTTCACTTGTTGGGATGAGCGAGTCGTACGTGGGTAGAAGAATACGACATTATAGGATAAGAACATCTTCTTATTTTTTTATTACCCTGGTCGCATGATCTCAAATGCCTTTATACATATGGATAACACCTAAAAAGATATGTTGGTCCTATATAGACCTGTAATGTTTTCTTTAGGGAGACTACAAGTGGAAGGTTGGTTATCCTTTTTTTTTAATCTTTCTACGGTAGGGACATTAAGAAGTCATTGTAAAATTTTACTATATAATTTCCTTTATTTGACATATATGAGTATAAAAGTCATATGACCACATGGCTTTGAGAAAGTTGTGGCTACACCCTTGTGCACTGCACCTGATGATGAATAGTAAAATCCAAAAATAGCAAAAAATAAAATCATAAGTTTGAAACTTTGTGGCTTCGATGATGACCAAATGTTTTATGTGCTTGCAAATTTGGTGGCAAAATAACATATGATGAGCTCCAACAAGCAAAATAAGATTATGCTCAACGGTGCACAGAAGTTTCAGGATTAATTTTGTTATTTATTTTTATGGACCTCAAGGGATGTCCTTTGACCACCAAATTTTGCAAGCTCCTAAAACAATTGGTTTGGTCATAATCAATCCCACAAAGATTCAGATGTTTTTTCAATTTTATTGTTCTCGTGGGTGCAATGCACCCAAGTGTAGAAAAACCCATGAAAATACTTTGTAGTACATGTATCTTCTTCTCACAATATTATATTACTTTTCTTGCGCCTGCTCTCTATCTCAGAGCATGGTATTGTTGGGAAGCTCAATCACACCCACCCACCTCCTGAACCCATAGTACTAACTCAGCCAACCCAAGCTATATAACTCTTGCCCGCCTTCATAAGTTGCTTATGTTCTTATCTAGTCAAAAGCCTTGTTGATTGCACAATGCTGAATAGAGAGAAATGGTGAGGTATAAGAGTAGTGGCAATTACATATGATCTTTTGTATAAGAAATGGTGATGATTTTTGAGATTGGAGGGCATCAGAAGAAATTGTCTTAGACAACCCATCAGACTAGTAGGATACATTTTTCTTGTGTAGACCGAGACTTGATGTCTGTGGAACATCGTCCAGCTTCATGCGACACTTCTTCAACCTGTAGGAGCATACATTCTATCCAGATCATGTTGCATATGTATGGGTGGTGTCTAAATGACAACATTATAGGAGAAGCAACACAAGAAAATTTCTAAGACAATTTCAAAGTCTTGGGATAATAGTTCAAAGTCTTGGGATGAGGAGAAAAATTCTTTGTACTTTGATGACATTTTAAAAGATCAGATATTGCAGATTCCTATTATCAATGCAAATTTTAATGACGAGTTCTGCTGGTCCATACTACTAATTCTTTATGCTCTTCAAAAAGTGTGTACAGAACCTTGATGTAGGCAAATACTTCTACATCACAGGGAGGGGGCAGACCAGACCTGGCCAAACGGGCCGGCCCGGCACGGCACGACCCGACCTGTGCTAATCGTGCCTAGCCCGGCACGGCCCGCCATGGCACGTTTAATAGCCGGGCCGTGCCGTGCCGGCCCACGGGCGCTGCTCCTTGGCCCAGGCACGACCTGATTAGTAAACGGGCTGGCCCGATGGCCCATTTAGCACGCTGGGCTGCACATTTTCAGCCTGCTGGGCTGGTTTTTAGGCCTATTGGGCTATATTTTAGGTATATATATATATAATCCGAAAAATATATAAAAAATTAAATGGGCCGTGCCGTGCCGGCCTGCGTGCCCAGGCTCCAGGCCCAGGCACGGCCCAAGGCGTGCCGCGTGCCGGGCACGGCCCGTTTAGCCCGTGCCGTGCCTGGCCCATGGCGGGCCGTGCCGGCGTGCTCGCGGGCTGGCCTGTTTAGCCCGGCCCGTTTGGCCAGCTACAGGGCAGACTATTACTATGTAGAAAATATCTATTCTAAATCAGGTTTGGCGACACTAAACTATTGCTTCGAGAGTGAAAACATTCCTGAGGGGAGGCTACTAGTTGTGTTTATCTTTGTACCATAGGATCAAGATGTAACTCTGAAAAGGCTTTTGAAGCGTCAACCTTCGTGAGGGGAGGCTGTTATCTGTACACTGTTTGGGATGTTAATAAAATGTTCTAAGTCCTCCATGGAGGAGTATTTGACAAAAAAATATGGGTGTTTCAAAAAAATTCTCTAGAAAAACCTCATGCATTTATATTGTTTATAATTTATTGTTAATCTTTAGCCGTTTATGGGGAGAATATCTAGTGCATAGGGACTTGTTATGCACCTGATGCACCTAATCTTGTTGATAGTTTTAAATTTTTAGAAAATACTGAACCAAACATGTCATACAATTATAAATAAAAGTTTGTACCAAAGGTCGGGGGAAAATAAACAAACTTGACACCAAATAGTCCCACCAGGGTTCAAATTCTGGTGCTCGCGTTATTTCTGAATTTATTTCAGGATTTTTGGCGATGCGCTTTGAGTGGGAGGAGACGTTCCCGTCGACGGCGAGGCGCCTACGGTGACTTCGTAAATCTCAAGATGATATGCCGGCTCAGTCTCTCGGAGGTGCTCATAGGGGTAGGGTGTGCGTGTGTGCGTTTATAGGGGTGAGTGTATGCGCGTGTATATGAGCGCTTGTGTCTGTACCGATGCTCAAAAAAAAGTTTGACTTTGAATTTAGCACATTATCACCATTTTATAATAAAAATGACATTTTATTGAGTTATTTCAAATTTGGACTTGCACTTTCGTGATAACATACATTCACGTTGTGTCTATGTCCTAAATGTTTTCTACATTTTTCTTTCAAAATATTAGAAGGTATAAATTGGAGGCAGGTGCACCACATACTTCCCCCAGCCGTCCGGAGGAGTAACTACTTCTACTATCGTCGCATTTGTGTTCTGTTTGAGTTCTGTTCTCCGACGTCTAATTCGTGCCTGTTTTCTTTTCCTTTCTCCATGTAAGAATTGTTTTTTAAGCATATATTTTATTTCTCAGATGATCGATATGTCATTTACAGGAGTTTGAGAAATAAAATCAGGGATCATAGAGTTCTAGAACATAGAATATTTTCCACTAAAAGAATTCCTCGCCAACACATCAGCAACTTCATTTGCTTCTCGGAGTCCAGGGCTAGCTCCTTGTATTCGAGCACTATGACCACTGAAAAAGCCACATGGCCGCCTTTCTGCTGAACTGCCTCAACCGCAAAATTGTTGTCAGACTATCATCAAGTTATTACACCCGGTTCGTCCTGCTAAGTATAATCTGTTCCCGATAGTTGTTATCTCTTCCACATCGACATAGCAGATATGTGGAAGGAACCAATTAGGTGCAGCTATAAATTTACCTATTCTGTTGCGAGCAATCACACCTATTGCACCCGT